AATATGAAGCACTGAGAAGGACACAATATCATTCCTGTGGTGTTCTTTCCAATAATGCATAACATTAATCTAATCATGAGAAAACAAAGACAATCTCAAATTGAGGCATATGTTTGTTAAATAAACTTATTGTGGCAATCATTTCACAATATACATAAATCAAGTCATTTTTTCTGTATACCTAAAAGTTATACAGTTCTGCATGTCAATCATTTTTCAATAAAACTGAAAAAAATGAGGGACATTTTGCAGACAACTAACTAGTATTCTTCAAAAGTCTGGAGGTCATGAAAGACAAGGAAATGTTAAGGAACTATTGTATCATGGGTAATAGAAACTAAGGAGACATAACTAAATGCATTGTGGGATCCTGGATTAGATATTTTTAAAAAGAATAAGAAATGAAAAAAACAACAACTTGTAAAATTGTAATAAGCCTGCAGTTTAGTTATTAGAATTATACAAGCATTAATTTATTAATTTGATAACTATGCTATGCTATGTATGATGTTAACATTAAGGGAAGGTAGGTGAAGAGTATATGAGGACTCCATACTATTCTCACAGTTTTATATCTAAAATTATCTCATAATAAAAAGTTTTAAAAGAGCTTACATTCTTTATAACTTAAACCTTTCGTTGGAAATGTAGATCTATGTGCATTTCAAAGTGAAATAGATAACTGGAGCAACTTGTCCAAACTATTTAGATATTTTTTATTAAATACTTATCAGGGTCGTTTTATACAGGAGCACTTCTAGGTATTTGGTTATAGCTTTGAATAAATACAAATAGTTATAAAGTCACTTGACATTTGGGGGAACAGTAAGTGTCCTAATTATTTCCATTCTTTGTGTTAATTTGCTGATGGAAACCTGGACTTAGTCTCAGCTGGAATATAGTTCTCTCCAAATACAAATAGTTCACATCATACTCAGCATATTGATGCAGAATTGGTCTTAGTTTTTAATCATCAGGTACAATTGAACTTTTCTTGGGAGCTTCAAGACTGAATAAGAATGAGATTAGAGTGTCATTTATTTCTATAGTTCCCAACTGGAAGTCATGGAAAATTATTCACTTGAAAAAGGCAAAATGAAAATATAATGGCAAAACACAATTTTCATAAAACTATGTTTTTTTTAATTTAAAGGATAATTCCTTTATGAGATTGTTGTCTTACCATTTTAAAGTATCATTTTGTTTATGAAATAATGGTAATAAATGATGGCCTTTTTACGTTTTAACTTACTGTTCATTCATGGAAATATAAAAAGTTGGCAAATCTACATCTACTTTTGTTTGAACTTTACTGCTATTTGAAATTTAGTCTTAAAATCATTGATCTAAACCATTTTCTTTCCTTGTTATTGACATCAAACCAGGCTCCACTAACTATGCTCACATCATCCAATGTAATGGAACTGGAGAGCATTATGCTAAGTGAAATAAGCAAGGCAGAGAAAGATAAATATCTCATGATCTCACTTATTTATGGAATATAATGAACAACATAACTGATGAACAAAAACAGATCCAGAGACAGAGAAACATCGACCAGAATGCCAGACCTTAGGGAAGGTAGGGGAGGGTGGGGATACAGGGAAGAGATCAACCAAAGGACTTATATGCATGCATATAAGCCTAACCAGTGGACACAGACAACAGGAGGGAAAGGGTATAAATGGGAGGGGGGTTGAGGGGAAATGGGGAAATAAGGACACATATGTAATGCCTTAATCAATAAAGAAATTAAAATAAAATAAAATTTAATTTTTAAAAAGCTAAAGTAAAAACCCCCACAAATACAATCATGTTATCAAATGCAGTTAATCCAGTGACTTTTAGTTAATAATGTTTTAACTAGTTACTACTTACCCATAAAGTTAATTATATGTCTTTTCTTTCTTAAAAACCTCTGGTTTCAACGTGTCTTAACCAATCCTAACCCAAACACACTGGAACACAAACTGTTCTACGTTTTGTGCAAGAAAGACATTGACTCCAATGAGCAGCATTATACTCAATTTATGGAAACTATTTAATATCGATAAGACAATTTACTGATATTCTGCATTTGTCTCATCTATTCTCAAAATACTAAGAAAAAATGTTGAACAGATTACACCAATTCTGCCTTAAGCATCTCTAATATTTAAAAAATAACTTAGCACTAATTTTTAGTATATTTTGGCTACTAGGTCAACAGCCAAGTGGTACCATTAGGTATCAATCATAATTCCGATATTAATGCTTATATCAACAAATATAATATGGTATATTTCAGATATATTTTAGAGGTATTCTTCTACCCTTGGAATTCTAGGTACAAATATAGTGCCCTCCTGTGCAAGACAAATTTACACACATTTGTCTAAAATAAGGCACAGAATTAAAGCTTCATGAATGCAGACTTTATTTTTTTTAAGTCACAGTTAGTAGTATCAATAGCATCCTTAAAATATGTTAATGTTTTAATATTAGTTTCTTTAATTTTAGAACAAGAGAACTTAAAATAGCTTATGAAGGCAAACAGCGATGATTTTTGAAAAGTCTAACTTCTGTCCCTACTCCTTTTCATTCTATGAATGATTTGCTAGTAAATACAATCTTCCAAAACTGAAACAGGAAGAATCAGAATAGGCCAATAACAAGTGATAAAGTTGAAGTAGTAATAAAAAAAAATTTAAAAAAACCTCCCAGGACACAAAAGCCCTGGTCCAAATGGCTTCACATGGAAGTTTTACTAAACATTCAAAGAAGAACTAACACTTAACATCCTCAAACTATTAAAAAAAAATCCAAGAGGAAATAATAGTTCCAAGCTCTTTTTATGACGCCAGCATTATCCTAATTCCAAAACCAGATAAAGACACTACACAGAAAGAGAATTATAGGATATTGATTCCAGATGAAATAGGTGCTAAAATCCTCAACAAAATAATAGCAAATCATATCAAGCACTGTATTAAAAAGATCATACACCATGACCAAGTGGGATTTATTCCAGGGATGCAAGGCTGGCTGGTACAATATTTGCAAATCAATAAATGTGATGCATCACATAAACATATTTAAAGACAAAAATCATATGATCATGTCAATAGACACAGAAAAAAGCATTTGACAAACTCCAACACCCACTTTTGATAAAAACTCTACATTTGATGATAATCTACAGCCAACATCATACTCAATGGACAAAAACTAAAACCATTTTCCCTAAGAACAGGAACAAGACAGGGTTATCTGCTTTCACCACTCTTATTCAACACAGTGCTGGAAGTCTTAGTCATAGTGACCAGACAAGAAGAAAACATAAAAAGAATCCAAGTTAGAAAGAAGGAAGTAGCCGAGACCGGTTTGGCTCAATGGATAGAGCTTCGGCTTGGGGACTGAAGGGTCCCGGGTTCGATTCCAGTCAAGGGCATGTACATTGGTTGCCGACATATCCCCAGTAGGGGGTGTGCAGGAGGCAGCTGATCGATGACTCTCTCTCATCGATGTTTCTAACTCTCTATCTCTCTCCCTTCCTCTCTGTACAAAATCAATAAAATATGTTAAAAAAAAAAGAAAGATAGAAGTAAAATTGTCATTATTTGTGGATGAAATGACATTGTACATAAAAACCCTAAAGACTCCACCAAAAAAACTACTAGATTTATAAATGAAATCAGCAATGTAGAAGGATACAAAATTAATACCCAGAAATTGATGGCATTTTTATACACCAATAATGAATCCAAAACAGAGAAACTAAAAACAAAAACACAATTCCATTTACCATTGCAACAAAAAAAATTAAGATACTTAGGAATAAACTTAACCAAGGAGGTAAGAGACCTGTACTCAGAAAACTATAGGATATTGAAAAAAGAAATAGTGAGGATATAAACAAGTGGAAGAATATACCATGCTTATGGATAGTAGAATTAACATCATTAACATGTCATTACTGCCCAAAGCATTCTATAGATTTAATGCAATTCATATTAAATTACCAATGGCATATTTCACAGATCTAAAACAAATACTCCAAAAACTTATATGGAACCAATAAAGACCCTGAATAGCTGCAGCATCTTTTGAAAGAAGAACAAAGTTGGAGGGAATCACAGTACTAGATATCAAGTTATACTACTAAGCTACTGTAATCAAAACAGCCTGGTAATGGAACACAAACAAGCATATAGACCAATGTAACAGAACAGAGACCCAGAAATCAACCCAAGCCATTACACTCAATTAATATTTAATAAAAGAGGCAAGAGCATACAACAGAGTTAAGACAGTCTCTTCAATAAATGGTGTTGGGAAAATTGGACAGGTACATGCCAAAAAAAAAGAAATTAGACCACCAACTTCCACCATACACAATAATAAAATAAAAATGGATAAAAGGCTTAAATGTAAGTTGTGAAACCATAAAAATCCTAGAAGAAACCATAGGCAGCAAAATCTGACATTTCTCATAGCAATATATTTGCCAATACATCTCTTAGGGCAAGGGGAAAATAAACAAGTGGAACTACATCAAAATAAAAAAGCTTCTGTACAGCAAAAGAACCTTCAACAAAATGAAAAGGAGCCCACTGTATGGAAGAACATATTTGCCAATGATACATCTCATAAGGGGTTAATTTCCAAAATATACAAGGGACTCATACAACTTAACAAAAGGAAGACAAACAATTCAATTAATAATGGGCAAAGGACCTAAATAGGCGCTTCTCCAAAGTGGATATGCCCATGGTCAAGAAACATATGAAAAAAATGCTCAAAGTCACTAATCATCAGAGAATTGCAAATTAAAATGACAATGAGGTATCACCTCACACCTGTCAGAATGGCTACCACCAACAAATCAACAAATGGCAAGTGCTGGCGAAGATTTGGAGAAAAGGAAATCAAAGTACACTGCTGGTGGGAATGCAGACTGGTGCAGCCATTATGGAAAACAATATGGAGTTTCCTCAAAAGATAAAAAATGGAACTGCCATTTAATCCAGTGATCCTAGTGGTACACTGGAGCCAGCCTCTGTCTTTACCTTTCCAGTGCCATGGGGAAAGGGGAAGTTGGGCATAAAGCGCTTAAGAAACCGAAACTCACTAGTGCTAGTGCCAGTGGCTGAGCACATTTCGTAGGGACAGGGCTGGGATAGAGATCCATTGGCTCCTCCTGGTACCAGGTGGTTAGGGAAATTACAGTCATCATAGAAATGCTCTTGAATTGTGATCTTTTCTCTATATTTAATTTTCTGGCAGATGTGTATAAGGAAGATCACCGTGACCGAGAGGAGAAAGAGAAAGGAAAGCACAGCCAGAGAAATGACCAAATATTTAGTGGATGGATTTACCATTGCAGGATGTTTGGATGGATCCCGGAACTGAAGGTAGGGCTCAGAAAAGCCTTCTACCAGCAGGATGTTGAGTGAAGCAGTGGTGGAAAGCACTGGTTGGCCATGATCCTGAACAAGAATGATAAGTTTCTGCATCATGGGGTCTCTCTCAGATATCTGCCGCAGTGTGCGGATTTCCCCATTTTGTTGTTGAACAGAGAATAGCCCGGGGTCAGTGGCCTTAAACAGATTATATGAAAGCCAAGAATTCTGACCCGAGTCACCGTCCACAGCCACCACCTTAGTCACCAGGTAGCCTGCCTCTGCAGACCTGGGCACCAGGTCATTGCAGGGCAAGGTGCCATTCTGCAAGGGGTACAAGATCATGGGGCGGTTGTCATTGTCATCCAGGACCACCACTCGGACAGTAACCTGGCTGCTCAGCGATGGGAAGCCCCCATCCGTTGCCTTTATCACAAACTGGAAATCTTGAATGGCCTCATAATCCATGGTTCTCAGTGCATAGAGCTTCCCGTTGTCTGAATTTATGGAGATGTAAGCAAAGACGGATAGATCTCCGCTCTTTGGAGGCAGCAGAGAATACGTGATTTGGGCATTCTCGCCCAAATCCAAATCCTCAGCATGGACTTTGCCGATGAAAACTGCAGGGCTGTTGTTTTCCCGGACAGTCAAGATGTAGGAGTCCTCCCGAAATAGCGGGGGGTTGTCATTAATGTCAGATATTAGCACCTCTATGACAGTCTCTGTGGACAGATTGGGTGGTCCGGTGTCCATGGCAACGAGGGTGATATTATAGCCCGAGACCTCCTCCCGATCCAAGCCTCTGTCGGTGACCAGCGAGTAAGCATTCCGGAACGTAGGTTTGACCGCAAAGGGAAGGTCTTCTCTGAGGAAGCAGGTGATTTTCCCTCCCACTCGCACGTCCCGGTCTCGGATGGAGAAAAGGGCCACTACCGTTTGCAGGGGGGAGTCCTCAGGGAGAGGGCTGGACACAGAGGAGACGGTCACTTCCGGAGGATTGTCATTCACATCCACCACTTCCACCAGGACTTTGCTGTGGGCAGAGAGGCCCCCTCCGTCGGTAGCTTGAATGTCAATGTCGTAGGTTTCCATCGCTTCGAAATCGAGGGGCCCTCTCAGGCGAACCTCTCCGGTCTCAGGGTCGATCTGAAACGTCTGGAGAATTGCCTCTGGGTTTTGAGCTAAGGAGTACGTGATCCTCTGGTTGGAGCCCTCGTCCAGGTCCGTGGCAGTCACCGCGGCCACCAAAGAGCCGTTGGCGCTGTTCTCGGGCACCTGCGCGCGGTACACCAGGCGGGAGAACTGGGGCACGTGGTCGTTGACGTCCAGGACCTCCACGCGGATGTGGGCGGTGCCGGACTTGGGAGGGGACCCGCCGTCCACCGCCGTGATCGTCAAGTTGACTGCGGGGTGCTCCTCTCTGTCCAGGGGTCTGTCCAGCACCAGCTCGGCGTATTTGGGCCCGTGGCTGCGGAAGCGGGTGTGCAGGTGGAAATAGGCGTTGGCGCTCAGGGTGTAGTTCTGGAGCCCGTTGAGGCCCACGTCCAGGTCCTGGGCGCTCTGCAGAGGGAACCGTGAGCCCAGGGGCGTGCTCTCTGGAATCTTTAACACCGGCTCCTTGTTTGGGAAAATCGGGGCGTTGTCGTTGATATCAAACACCCTGACCTCGGCGCGGAAGGACTGCAGGGGCTCCACCAGGACGATTTCAAAGTGCAGGACGCACGGGTCGGCTTTGCCGCACAGGGACTCCCGGTCCAGCTTCTCCTTCACGAACAGATCCCCGGTCTTGCGGTGGAGCCGGAAGTGCAGTTTGTTGCCCTCGGAAACCAGCCGCGCCCCGCGCGCAGCCAGCTTCCCTATCTCCAGCCCCAGGTCCTTAGCCACGTTAGCCACAAACGAACCGCTCTCCATCTCCTCCGCCACCGAGTAGCGGATGGTTGCCTCACCCCCCACGGAAACGCACAGAAAAAGGAGGAGAGACCCCACTTGCCTGCTTTGCAAGAGTTTTCTGCGCGCCATCGCCATCTGTTCTCACAAGCGCGCCCTGGGCGGCGGCCACCACCTGTTGCGGATAAACTTTCACTTCTCTGCAGGTTCCTGCAACCGCAGCTCTTGGCTTTGCTGCCCTCTAAGCGCAGCTAAGCCAGTGGCCAGCTCAGCCCTGTAAAGCTGTTTTGCACCTGGAAGAAAATTTGCGCTCCCCAGACTATCGAATGTATTAATAGATATGTTCTCATCCAGAGAGGTTGAAAGTTTGTTGCCAAAGCGACGGCAGGCTCGCCTTGTAATTCCCTTCCAGAAGAAAAGTCCTTGGGAATTGAGAAGCCAATGAGGGTTCACGCTCAAGCTGAAGTCACCGTTTCTGAGAGGGCTGGGGCCACCGCAGCAACATGCAAACCAAGGAATAAGCTACTCCGTACACTGCACGCACTCCGCCTGGAGACCAAGGGAGAGGCAGAAAGATCTGGCAGTGTCTTCTGGATTCCCCAGGCAAATGGGGGAGAATGATTTGGAGGAAGTGATCAGTAGGACAAGGAAAGGGGACAGACATAGGTTATCCTTGGAACCTGGTCCAGTAGGCACACTGATAGGGGAATTGGTCAACTACCCTCTTGACTTGCACAAAACACTCAAACATTTAGGAAGCAGTTGGCTTGGCACTTAAATGATCTTATGACAGGAATACTTATTGTGTGTGATTTCTACATACTGGCACTGTGTTGAATGATTTACATGCATTATCTAATTTAATCTTTGCAACAACTCTGTGAGATAGACATTATAATTTCTTTTTTGCAGACAGAAAGTGGGACTGGAGATATTTTAAGATCTTCTACCTAGTAAAGATTAAAGAAGGAACTAGTCCAATATTACCGGTCTGCAAAATCTATGCTCTTAATTAATATACTATTCTGCTTGATAATATATATATATATATATAAAATATCATATATAATATATATGATACATTAAATGAAGGCAAATATTTGGCTTTGGATTTTAAAGTAAATGAAACAATAGACTACATATAAATAGAATGTCCCCCAAAATGTACACACACACTTTGAATAATTATAAAGACAGTGTTTGTTAAAATGCATTTCATTTTCAAAATTGAGCTATCAGCTGTTAAAGTGTGTGCACATTTTGGGGGACATCCTGTATGTTGAGAATGACTTGATATTTGGCAGACTTTTGTGGCAAGTTTCCTTTACAATCATAGAATCATAGAATATTTGAGGTGATAAGGCACCTCAGGAAGATGAGGTCCAATCTCTCCCTCCCCCCCCCCCTTTTTTTTTTTTTACAAATGAAAAACTAAGGCCTAAATGCTGAAATCACTTGCCCAGTTAGTGGCAGTATCAGAACTAGAACCTGTCTTCTGATACTCTGTCTTATGCTCATTATCAAACGCTTGGCGATTTCCCATTTTCCTCAGTGTTTCATATGCTAGATGCTATAGTAATAGTTACTGCCACTCAAGAGAAGTCTAAACTACATTTTCCAAATGAGAAAAAAAAGTGAAAGAAAATGGTATATGTAATGTGTATGACACCCTGACATGAAGAAGTTAACGGTTTCTTCAGTCTCCATTAGCTATTTTAACATCTGTGCATCTCTATTCAGTTTAATTTAGCTCTTCAATTAGATTCCTCTGAATCTTAATCTGTTTGGTTATTCCCTGGGGCAGTGTTTCCCAACCTTCTCTCATGATGAGAATCACCTGGTGGAGTTGTTAAAACACAGATTCCTGAATCCCAACTAAGAAGTGCTAAACTAGAATTTTTGGGAACATATAGGTAAAATTGTATACTTAACTAGTGCTCTAAGACAGATTTTATATACAGAGCACTAAGTTAGGTATGCAATTTTACCTATATGTTCTCAAAAATTCTAGTTTAGCACTTCTTAGTTGGGATTCAGGAATCTGTGTTTTAACAACTCCACCAGGTGATTCTCATCATGAGAGAAGGTTGGGAAACACTGCCCTAGGGCACGCAGTAGTACCCTCTTGATGGGGTTAAATTCCAAAATATTTTAATTTTTCTCTGAAAACCTAGGGAACTTTAAACATGGTGCTATTTTTGAAGTCCTCATCTTTTCCAGTGAAGGTAGAATGATGGGCACACGGAATAAATCTAAAACCTTTTAGGTTGTAATGTCAAGGTCTGTATTCAAAATCTAAATATTGGGAAGAATGAGTATTTTTGGAGAACAAAAGATCCATTCCAATACTATATCTAAGTACTGATTTTTAAGCTTTTAAGAATATTGTTTTGAAATAATTTAAAGTCACGAGTGCTTACAATGGCCTACTACTTACCCATTAGTTTAGTATGACCAAACTTAATCAGGCTTCTCTTTTATGCATAGGTCGCTGAATTTTAATTTGCCCCTGAATTAAATAAGCCTTAGAATGCAGAACAGCCCCACTAAATGGCTCATTCCAAGAACTGGCCAACCACAGAACAAAAATTTCTTATGAAAGTACCTTGCTTATGCCATCTGCTCACTCCTCTTGCTTTATTCCCATACCAAGTTTACCCCTCCCTATTTAAAAAACAACAACTTTATTTTCTGTTTGATTTTGAGACATTTGCAGGTTTTGTGGTCAGAGTGTTTTGCTCCTGCCATAGTCTTTTTGAAGAGAGCTTCTCCTTACCTAAGACCTGATTTGCTTATATTTGACAAAGTAAGTAATAATAAATTACCATCAGCCCAGCTGGCATGGCTCAGTGGTTGAGCATCAACCTATGATCCAGGAGGTCACAGTTTGATTCCTGGTCAGGCACATGCCCAGGTTTCGGGCTCAATCTCCAGCAGAGGGCATGCAGGAGCCAGCCAATCAATGATTCTCTCTCATCATGGGTCTCTCTCTCTCTCTCTCTCTCTCTCTCTCTCTCTCTCTCTCTCTCTCTCCTTGCCTCTCCCTCTTGCTCTCCTCCTCTCCCTTCCTCTCTGAAATCAATAAAAATATTTTTAATAATAATAATAAATGACCATATGCTCTTCACCTACATTCCCCAATTTTACTACATTTGTGTACTCTCTCTCTTTCTTTTTCATATATACATGTTAAAATATTTTACATAATATATTATATAACATACATTATAAATTTAGAGATTAGGACTTCATATCTTTCTAAAGGACACAATTCAATATTCTCTGCTAATGTCCCATTGGTCAAAGTAACTCATTTGGACAAACACAAAGTCAAAAAGTGGGGAAATATACTAAACTATAAATGTGAGGTCTAAGTATATAATATAACCAAACTCAGCATCAATAGGACAGAGAGGTATACCTCTCCCAGTGACTATTTTGAATAATAAATGTGTGTTTATACAGTAAGTCCTCATTTAGCATTGATAGGTTCTGCAACTTTAAGCAAAAGAGGTATAAGGAAACCAATTTTGCCAAAGGCTAATTGATATAAATAAGAGTTAAGTTTCTATGGCAGTTCATTGACATTGTAATGAAATGATGTTGAACTGAAAACTATTTTGACATTTAGGTATATGTGTAATTTATGTATATTTATTTACCTTTACTTCATAGATTTAAAAGCTTCAAGACTGTTCTGCTAATAATTTTGTCACTATTTTTTATATTTTCAGAAAAAAAAATACCGTAAGTAGAATACTTGAGAATCTCCTCACTTGTTTCTATTATTGTATCAAACTTCAAGTAATTTTAATATTTATGATATTTATTGTTACAGACATATTTGTAAACATACTAGTATCTGGAATCCCCTCCCATTTTCTTTCATGTATATTCCTTAAGTTTTAAAAAAAAAAAGCTGTCTATTTTTAGGAGCAGATGTACTTTAAAACATTGAATTTATACCTGCAATTTTAGATTTCACTACTATTTTAGAATTCTATTATTTCATTGTCTTTTCATGCATTTTAAGTTTCTTATTTATTTTTGCAGGAGCATGAGGCTTTGGGGGTTTAGATGTCTTTCTTAGGCAGCTCAATTATGGAAGCTGCTCTTGACCAACCATCTGTTGCTTTAAATGACAATGCTTCTTATTGTTTACCATCTGCATGTGCGTATAATGTTTCTGTCTTCCACGGTAACATAAGAAGCTATAATATAAGTCAAAACTAGTTATAGGCAAGGTTTATATTACTCTTATTTTAAATAGATGGCTTTAGTGCCTTTATTCCTGCTTATTCATTTTCCATGTTGACTCTGGTAGACAGATTATAGGTGTCTTTTCCTGAAATCTGACAAGTGTTTGGAAAACTTTCCAATTTAACCAAATGGAGCCTAGGTTAGAGTGATTCTTTTCCTCATTAAACTCTGACTAATTTATTTTGTAATTGAAGAAAACCCCAATCCAGTACCTAAATTTTATTGAAATTAATATTTAAAAACAATGTTTAATACATTAAAACAAAAGTGATAACCATATTTTCTGTGTTAAAATTCAGAGAAGACTAAATGAGAAAATATAAGAATACTAAATATTAACTGAGATTGCTAATAAAGCCAACTGTGTTTCCTGGATAGGTCTGTTGTTTTCTGAGATTGATTAATTTGTTTCTGAAATAAATTCATTTTACTCTCAGTTTGTTAGAGTAGGTTTTACACTGTAACTAGCTACATAGCAGTCACTTGTTTCAAAAGATGGAAAGAATGATATTAAACTTCTTAGGAAGAATAGGTCACAATGAAAGACATAGAAATTTATGGTCAGTTGAAATTTTGACTTCATAGCTTCTAAAAAATGTACCCATCTTTCCATAGTATTTTTATAACAACAACATTTGAATGGGCACCTCATTACTTCTTGTTCCTGTTTTTGTTGTTTTATTATGTATCAAAGGATTTCTACTTATTCAGCAACCTAAGGGTTTCCTTATATGAAGTTAAATTTACATATGTCACAGTGACTTAGTCATCACTGTGTAAAGTAGTGTAAAACAGTATAAACACACAGGGTAAAAATAATAAGCATTCCATAAATTTCCTATATTTTCAATTATCTGATGGTTTATATAGTACTAGTCCTGGAGGAAAAAGAAACATGAGTTTTCCTCCTGTAATACCTGTGACTTCTTATCACTTCCTAAACATTATTACACCTTTTCCCCCTTCCAATAGCTGAAATCAAAGCAGTACCTTCAGCCAAGCTTCCTTGAAATTATTTGGCTAACAAGATAGAACTTCAATAGTATTTCTTTTAATAAAATTTACTCTATGAGTATTTTAATATTTCTAAATACCTTCATATGCAAATACTTTTCCAATACCAATCTGAAAAGATGTGTTGGAAGAAATGCTTGGGGAAATTTAAACATATTTGTAAATTATTTTCTTGTGTAGAAGTAAGAGAGCTCTCTAAAAACTCTCAATTTTTCCTATATTTTTCTATAGCTTTTAAAAATAGGCATATCTCCCAAAATCTTTTCCTGATGTCCAAGATCCCAAGCCCCTTCAATTTGTTTCTTCAGAGTTTAGTTTAGGGTGTCAATCCGGTCTTTTTTGAACTTTATCAAAAGCACTTTTCTTATTCACCACCAGGTGGCAGGTGGATCCACTTTTTGGAACGCTACTCAGACCCCGCCCTACCGGAAGTTGTCATGTAAAGGAACTCTCTCTGGCCACGCCTAGAGTTCAGCACCCTCGATGCGGACAGCGACACCGCCCCGGTTAGTCCCATGACTCGCTGCAGAGATTTTCACCTGACAACGGAACTGGCCAATACCAGGGGGTTCCAAGAGCCGCATGATCGACTAATTTACAATGCCAGATATAGAGGGGGGTGAGAACACCTCGATTCGGGGATATTTAGGCTTGCAGGGGAACCAGCTGATACTAAATAATGTTCCAAATTTCAAAATTCTGATTTTTTTTCTCTCCCTACTCGCCGGATTCTAAGTGCATTCTTGTAAATGCTGTCTTGCTGTGCGACAGATGGAAGATTAACCAAACTCGGTGCGTTGGTTTATTCCAACAAAATGCGTCAGAAGCGAAGGCGGTACAAAAGTCTGTGTGAGTTATGGCGACCAGTCTCTCCTAAGAAACCGGCTTGGGGACAGCCTTCTTTTGCTGCATTGTTTTTCAATTAATTAGTCTGGAACACAAAACCAGCAGCTGTTTTTTGCTTGCACCGAATTACTGTTTCAGGCAAAGGGATTGCTTGGGCTGAAGCACAAGTGTGGTCTGGAGGTGGCGGTTCAGGTATCATTTTCCCAGTTGCCTAGCAATAAATCAGACAAAAATAGCATGTTTGCGGGTTTTAACTCCCATTTTAGAACTGCAAAAACCCAAGAGCAAATGAAAATGGGCTTGGGACAACATAACATATTAAAGGGACTAGGTATTAGAATAAGAATCTAACCAAACTTCAGTGG